ACTGGGTTGCTGTGAGTTTTCTGGGCCGTATGGTCATGTCTCAGAAGCATTCTCTCCTGAATGGCAGGCACCCTCAGAGGTCGTGAGCTCTGTTGGAAACTAGGCAAGTGAGGTTTATATATCTGTGGATTGTTCAGGATGGGAGAAAGAACTCTTGTCTCAGGCAAGTGTGAATGTTGCAGTTGTCCAGCTTGACTAGCATTGAATGCAGCTTCAAAGCTCAGCTGCTTCCTGCCTGGAGGGAATTCTTTGTTGGGAGGTGCTAGCTGGCCCTGATTGTTTCCTGTCTGGAGTTCACCTGTTTTTTGAGTGTTGTTCTTTATTTTTTGTCCTGATTTTAGAGGGTTTCTTTAAATACTGGTAGCCAGATTTTGTTCATTTTCAAGGTTTTCTCCTTTCTGTTGAAATTGTCCACATGCTTGTGGATTTCAGTGGCTTCTCTGTGTAGTCTGACATGGTGGTTGTGAGAGTGGTCCATCATTTCTGTGTTCTCAAATAATATGCTATGGGCAGGTTGGTTCATCAGGTGCTCTGCTAAAAAAAACTCTAAAAAGTTCAGCATCTTAGTTGCTATGTCAGACTTTAGAGTGTAACAACCTTTGGCCTTCTAGGAGCTATCATTGGACTGGGTTATGGTGAGTTTTCTGGGCTGTATGGCCATGTTCCAGAAGCAGTCTCTCCTGATGTTTCACCTGCATCTATGGCAGGCATCCTCCGAGGTTGTGAGGTCATTGGACTGTAGCTCTCATCATTCCCAGCAGGCTTTGTCGATTGGAAATGATCACAGGAATTGATACATTAATATTGGAAAGGACACAGGTTTGCATATTTTTCTCTCTGTGTGAAGTGTTCCAGACAGCCTGGGAAAATAGTATGACATTTTTTGATTTTATTGTTGATGTTGTTGGTTGGCACTGTCTCTACAAAGGTAAAACCACACAAACAGGACCTAAGTTGGTGGGGTGCTTTTTCAAAGCTGTTCTTTTTCAAAGCAGAGGGCTTTTTCAAAGATGTTTTCTTCTCCACGGGTTTGTCCATGTTTGGAGGAACTGAAACTCATGGCAGCCATGTGTGTGCCTGGTGAGAGGAAGAGGGGGGAGTGCGAAAGGGTGTTGCAAGAGGAAGCAGCAGCTGATCAGAAAGTGAGCTGCACTCAGACCACATATCAACCTCCCCTCCACCTGTACTTTATCTCAAGTATTTTTATGTTGCCATTCGAGGACTTTTCATTGGACTCTTATATAAACTGGCTTACATAATAAATATTACATCAAGTTTCAATAAAACCACCGTATAAAACCAAAAGCATGACAGCATTATTACATTTTAAAAAGAGGAACATTATGGAGACCACACATTAAAACAGAGTGGGAAGCAATGTACGTCTGCAAGGTCAGGCTTTTTGAAAATCCAGTTGAGAAGAGGCTGAGCCTGAGGTTGGAGCAGAACTTGCATGTAGCACGCGAGAGCCCATGCCCTTAAGACAGCGTTTCAAAACCAAGGGGGTCGGAACCCTTGGAGGGGTCATGAAGGGGTTGTCAGAGGGGTCGCCAAAGACCCTTAGAAAACACAGTATTTTCTGTTGGTCATTGGGGTTCTGTATGGGAAGTTTGGCCCAATTATATCGTTGATGGGGTTCAGAATGCTCTTTGGTTGTAGGTGAACTAGAAATCCCAGCAACTACAAATCCCAAATGTCAAGGTCTATTTTCCACAAATTCCATCAGTGTTCAAATTTGGGCATATTGAGGATTCATGCCAAGTTTGGTCCAGATCCATCATTGTTTGAGTCCACAGTGCTCTCTGGATGTAACTGAACTACAAGTCCAAAACTCAAGGTCAATGCCCACCAAACCCTTCCAGTATTTTCTGTTGGTCATTGGAGTTCTGTGTGCCAAGTTTGGTTCAATTCCATCATTGGTGGAGTTCAGAATGCTTTTTGATTGTAGGTGAACTATAAATCTCAGCAACTACAACTCCCAAAGGACAACATCAACCCCCCTCCCCCCAAATCCCACCAATTTGGGCATCTTTGGTATTTTTGCCAAATTGGTCCAATGAATGAAAATACATCCTGCATATCAGATATTTATATTAAGATTTATAACAGTAGCAAAATTACAGTTATGAGGTAGCAACGAATATTATTTTATGATTGGGGGTCACTACAACATGAGGAACTATATTAAGGGTTTGCGGCATTAGGAAGGTTGAGAAACACTGTCCCAGAGGAACTCGGGGCAGCTCACAAAGCACTCAAAGGTGCAACACGCAAAATACAAAAATTGCAAAAACAATAACATGAAGCAATAACAGGCAACATAAATATCTCCCTACACAAAGCCCTCTGATTAAAATCAGTAGAATGCGGTAATAGCTGCAGGTGTAAAACAACAGCAATCAATCTCAGTCATGTAAAACGCTTGGTGAGATCTATGGGTTCTCACATATATTCATTCAAGGAATCTAAATATGGCCATGCTTTTCTTGACTAGTGGTTTTCAAAAGGTGGTCGCCACATGTTCATGGAGATTCACATTTGCCAAACGGATGTGACATCATCTTTACCTTTTCAATAAGGTTATGGTGCGCTTATTTCCAATAGGTTGTGGAATTTCCAATAATTTAAACATTCTGAGTTGTTGCAAAGGAATTATTCTGCAGAAAAAAAGCAAGACATTATTAATTATTTTGTGCAAAACATTATTTATTATTTATTATTTACAGTATTTATATTCTGCCCTTCTCACCCCGCAGGAGACTCAGGGCGGATTATAATATACATGGCAAACATTAAATGCCATAGACACACAACATATATAGACAGACACACAGAGACCATTTAACATTCCAACTTTTTCATGAGGATATTCTGGCCACCAGAGGAGCTGTCGCTTCATCATCCATTTGTGACACTGATGAAGTACTTCCTCTTTCTTTGCATGCTTGCTGGAGATTTTTATGGTCTCATAAATTAGTTAAATTAGCCTCCTCGCATAAGCGGTACCTAAATTTTCTACTTGACAGATGCATCTATCTTTCGGGCTGCAAAGGTCAACAGCAAGCTATACAAATTGGTCAGAAGCTCACTCTGACCCTGGCTGGCTTTGAACTCATGACCTCTCAGTCAGTAGTAATCTTAATGCAGCTGACTCCCAGCCAGCTGCGCCACATTGTTTTCTTTGCCAAAAATGAATATAATATTTAGTTCAATTGCACTGAACTACATTACATGTGTATGCAGAACACAACATGCGATGTGCGAAGCTTGACGAATGCAAGGCTGGGGTTAAAATTGCTGGAAGAAACATTAACAACCTTAGATACGCAGATGATACCACTTTGATGGCTGAATGCGAGGAGGAGCTGAGGAGCCTTCTAACCAAGGTGAAAGAAGAAAGTGCAAAAGCTGGGTTGCAGTTAAACATAAAAAAACCAAGATTCTGGCAACGGACTGATTGATAACTGGCAAATAGAGAGAAAAAATGTGGAGGCAGTGACAGACTTTGTATTTCTAGGTGCAAAGATTACTGCAGACGCAGACTCCAGCCAGGAAATCAGAAGACGTTTACTTCTTGGGAGGAGAGCAGTGACCAATCTCGATAAGATAGTGAAGAGTAGAGACATCACACTGGCAACGAAGATCCGCATAGTCAAAGCAATGGTATTCCCCATAGTAATCTATGGATAAGGAAGGCTGAGCAAAGGAAGATAGATGCTTTTGAACTGGGGTGCTGGAGGAAAGTTCTGAGAGTGCCTTGGACTGCGAGAAGATCCAACAGTCCATATTTCAGGAAATAAAGCCCGACTGCTCATTGGAGGGAAGGATATTAGAGGCAAAGATGAAGTAGTTTGGCCATATAATTAGAAGACAGGAAAGCTTAGAGAAGGAAGACAATGATGCTGGGGACAATAGAAGAAAGGAAGAGGGGTCGATCAAGGGCAAGGTGGATGGATGGTTGGTATCCTTGAAGTGACTGGCTTGACTCTGAAGAAGCTGGGTGGTGATGCTTCCCCCAGCTCTGGCGGGGGCTGGTCCATAAGGTCACAAAGAGTCGTAACCAACTAAATGAATAAACAATAAGAACATAAAAAAAATGTAAAAATGTAAAAAAAAAATAACAGTATTAAAAAAATTCTAAAATTTCAACAGCAAAAACAGCAGAGAGAAAAACAGGCAGGGACATCTAATCACCTTTCAAGAAGAGTTTGCTCCAGGCACAGTCAGCCCATTGTATGCTAATCAAGGTGGTCAGTTGAAAGATTCACACCTAGCCCAACTTACAAAAGCCCTTTGTCTCACCCTGGTCATTCCACAGATATATAAACCCCCTTTTTTCCCAGTTCCAGCAGATCTCACCTCTGAGGATGCTTGCCATAGATGCAGGCGAAACGTCAGGAGAAATGCCTCTAGAACATAGCCATATAGCCCGAAAAAACCCACAAGAACTGAATAACAACATTACATGAGTCTACATTGACCATATAACGCAGTTTCAAACTGCCATATATGGCAGTGGGAATGGGACCACTGTTTCTTGCATAAGAAACCTATTGTCTGTGTAAAAAAACTAGGCTTTTGTGCAAAAAAGCCATGTGCTTTCCCCTGCAGAATAATCTCTCTGTAGCATGTTGAGTTGCTTGAACAGAATACTGCAGAAGAATATTCATTTTCTCCCACAGCAGGAAGGAAACTAGCATAGCTGCTTTATATCCCTGACTGAGAATTACATTGCAGAGAAGTGTGAATCTAAAAGATAATTGCATTCTGATCTGCATGTTAGCCTAGATGGCTCTGGCCAGGTCATGTGTAATCCTACCCTCATTTTGGGAGCACACCTCGCTGCAGAGAAGCTGCTGCCACGTACAGCCTTCCTGCAATAACTGCAGAGGTAAGCAAAGGGGAAGAGAATAGCGTCTTTTGGTAGGGCTTTTATCACAATTGTATCTGTCTGAAATAACATAATTGTCCTCTTTTTTTCTTTATTTTCTTTCCTACAGCAAAAGCAGCCACCAAGGGAACAGGTGAGAAATTAGAGACAATCAGCATGAAACCTAGATGCATTTTCCATAATATGGACATGGCTATTCCTACTTACTAAAATACACATTCATAACAATAGCATTTACGCCTGAATTTTGCACTCAACCCATCCTGTATCCTGTAACATTCAAAGCACACTGGGAAATCTGCTTTCAAAGCAGTATTTTTGAACTGGGAACACTAATCTCTTGTGCTACTTCCTATTTGTTGAAGAGAAGTGGTTTTACTTGTAATAAATGAGATCCGTCTTCATCTTTCCCAGTCACACAATTCACAACACACGTCTTCTAACAATGAAGGAATACGTAACCAAGTGAATATGTCCTCGGGCTTTGCTAGAAGGCTGAATAACAGAAACAGAAATACAATGGGAAGGATAAAGATAGGTCCCTGTGTCACCAAACAAACAAAACAAAACAAATCAATAAACAAAACGAAACAACAATATCTCCCCAAACAGTTCAACATGTTTCAGCAAAGTATTGTCAAAGGCTTTCATGGCCAGAATCACTGGGTTGTTGTAGTTTTTTCAGACTGTATGGTCATGTTCTAGAAGCATTCTCTCTTGACGTTTCGCCTGTATTTATGGCAGGCACCCTCAGAGGTTGTGCAAAATTCAGAAGGCAATGCTGGGAGGATAATGTTCATGGGCATTAAAATGTCAGGATTATAGAGCCGAGGGCCATGCTAAAGTGCTGGAACTTAGGTAACATTGGGCCAATTCTTTGGAACTGCCTAATCAGAGGCACAGTGGAACATCCATTTTTTTAGGTTCTTGCAGAAGGTGGACAGGATAGGTGCCAATCTAATCTCCCTAGAAAGAGAGTTCCAGAGGCAGGGGGCCACCACTGAGAAGGTCCTCTCCCTCGTCCCCACCAACTACACTTGAAACGGAGGCGGAAGCAAAAGAAGGGCCTTTCCGGTTGATCTTAGGGCTCATATTGGTTCATAGGGGAAGATGCTCGTGATCCCGCCTGCGTCGCAAGCGCGTTTGGTGGGGACACGAGACAGGGCCTTTTCTGTGGTGGCCCCCCGACTCTGGAACACCCTCCCCAAAGATCTTAGACAGGCCCCTACACTGGCAGTCTTCAGAAAGAACTTGAAGACCTGGCTGTTCCGATGTGCCTTCCCAGAATAGGAAATCTCCAATACCAAGTCCCATAAGCACTTTATTAAAACTAAGATTGCTGCACACTGCACTTGCCCTATAATCCTACATACCTCCTGTCACATCAGCACTTTTAATCCTGTACCCATTACTTTGGCCCGGCCCAGTTTTATTGTGTCTTAGTGTATTGTTTATTGCTTGTTGTTTATATTGCTTTAATTGTTTTTAATTTGCATTAGGTTTTGTATTGTTGTATTGTGTGTTGAGGCCTTGGCCTTTGTAAGCCGCATCGAGTCCTTCGGGAGATGTTAGCGGGGTACAAATAAAGTGTAATAATAATAATAATAATAATAATAAGATGGGATAGTGAAGATAGGCGAGTTTTCACCCGTTTAGGGCAGGGGCCCTCAAACTAAGGCCCGAGGGCCAGATATGGCCCTCCAAGGTCATTTACCCACCCCTTGCTCAAGGTCAACCTAAGTCTGAAATGACTTGAAAGCACACAACAACAATCATATCTCTTCAGCCAAAAGCAGGCCCACACTTCCCACTGATATACTAATAAGTTTATATTTGTTAAAATTGTTCTTTATTTATTTAATTGTTTTAAGAGTTTTTTGCACTACAAATAAGATATATACAGTCTGCAAAGAATTCATTCATGTTTTATTTCAAATTATAATCTGGCCCTCCAACAATTTGAGGGACTGTGACCTGGCCCTCTGTTTAAAAAGTTTGAGGACCCCTGGTTTAGGGTGTTATAGGTAATCACCTGCATCTTGAATTGGGACTGGAAACTCATTGGCATCCAGTGGAGCTGTCTGAACAGGGGAGTTGACCGCTCTCTGTAGCTTGCTCCAGTTAATAACCTGGCTGCCAATCTTTGCACCAATTGCAATTTCCGGGCCATCTTCATGGGCACGTAGAGTGCATTGCAATAATCCAATTAAGTATCCTGTTTGTATTTTTGAATGCTCTGCTATTTTTTGGGAGAATTCCCTAACAAACTCAAGCATGCCTCCACTCCTTCTCTTTATGGTTGTTAATGTGCTCAATTCCGTGCCTTACATTCTGAACCATTTACAGTTACCACTCGTATCTACTGATTTGTCTCTTGTGGTATAATTTCAGTAGGAGATTAAATAAATAAACCTTGAGGTTAGCGTTTAAATTTTGGAGTGAGATTTGTAAGATGTAGGCTGAAAACTCTACCGAGCCATAGAACTCCCTGGGCAACCTTTCAGCTTGACTTATCTTGGAAGATAATTGTGAGGGAAAAGGTAGAAACAAGGAAAGTTATGCCATCCTACTTCTAAGCGTATCTGAAGAATCACAGACTATATGTGTAACTAATAAATAAATAATATTTTAAACAAAAAAAGAATAGAGAAATAAAAACAAAAAGGGAAGCAAAGAGGGAATTAAAAAAGGTAAGAAGAGAAATAAATCAGAGCATGTAAAATTTTAATGCTGCCGACAGGGGGACACCACAAACCGGAGAAAGATGTTCTCCTCTCCTCGGTCCGCGAGGAGTTGTAAAAAGTTTTACTAGACATTTCATCTCATTTTTATATTTCAGCAAATATTCCGGCTCTATTTATTATGTTCCTCACACACAGAGCAAGGCTCACTGAGTTTTACTAGGTCCCAGCCCTCTTTTGAGATACTGTAACCTATCTGTAAACATTAGGCAACCTTGCAATAAAAAAAGGGAGGGAAGAAATATATACAGATTGAATCTCTCTTATCCAAATTGCTTGAGATCAGAGATTTTTTAGGTTTTGAAATATCTACAGAGAATGGGGGATGTAGGCGGAAGCTAGCCATACACCCTGTGCTCCTTTAACTCAAGGAGCTCTGATTTTTTTTTTTGGGGGGGGGGGGGGGAGAAGAGCAAAAAGGGAAGGTGGGGAATCTGCTTATACGGCTCCCATAAAATGCACCGCAGCCAGGAAACCAGAAGACGTTTCCTTCTTGGGTGGAGAGCAATGGCTAATCTCGATAAAATAGCGGAGAGTAGCGGCGCTCCATGCAGTCATGCTAGCCACATGACCTTGGAGGTGTCTGTGGACAATGCTGGCTCTTTGGCTTAGAAATGGAGATGAGCACCAACCCCCACAGATGGACACAACTGGAATTAATGTCAGGGGAAAACCTTTACTTTACCTTAGAGACATCACACTGGCAACGAAGGTCCACATAGTTAAAGCAATGGTATTCCCCGTAGTAACCTATGGATACAATAGCTGGACCATAGCTGGCAGATGGACAAAGACAACCAATAATGACCAGAGTAGGAAAGGACAATGACGATGCAAAATGGTTTACGGACTTGGATTTGGTGAACATTGACCACAAGATGTTTTTATTGCTGCTTGTATACTGTTTGATTGTTTTAATTAGTTATAACTGTTGACATTATATGGTAAATTTGTGTATTGTATATTGTACTGTATTTTGTGAATTGTTAGGCATCGAATTGTGCCTTTTGTAAGCTGCCCTGAGTCCCCCCTAGGAGGTTGAGAAGGGCGGGGTAAAAGCACCCCAAATAAATAAATAAATAAATAAATAAATAAATAAATAAGGAAGGCTGAGCAAAGCAAGATAGACATTTTTGAACAGTGGTGCTGGAGGAAAATCCTAAGTGTGCCTTGGACCACAAGAAGATCAAACCAGTCTGAAAAAGGTAAAGGTTGTCCCCTGACATTAAGTCCAGTCATGTCTGACTCTGGGGGTTGGTGCTCATCTCCATTTCTAAGCCGAAGAGCCGGCGTTGTCCATAGACACCTCCAAGGTCATGTGGCCAGCATGACTGCATGGAGCGCCGTTACCTTCCCGCCGGAGCGGTACCTATTGGTCTACTCACATTTGCACGTTTTCGAACTGCTAGGTTGGCAGAATCTAGGGCTGACAGCGGAAGCTCACGCCGCTCCCCGGAATCGAACCTGCGACCTTTCGGTCAACAAGCTCAGCAGCTCAGCGCTTTAACCCACTACGCCAGTCTATCCTCCAGGAAATAATGCCAAACTTCTCACTGGAAGGAAGGATATTAGAGGCAAAGATTAAGTACTTTGGCCACATAATGAGAAGACAGGAAAGCTTCGAGAAGATAATGATGCTGGGGAAAATTGAAGGAAAAAGGAAGAGGGGCCAACCAAGAGCAAGATGGATGGATGGCATCCTTTATCCTCTCTTATTTCAGTGCAGGGATTGTTTGCACTCCACTCAGCAAGTGGGAGAGGAGGTAAAATTTTGCCTTTCCCAGCAACCTTAGACAGCCTATTCTAGCTTGTTTCTTCTTCCATATTTTTGCCATCTTGACCACATTTTGATGTTGCTTGCCTCTGTGTATACTAGGTTGCATCTACAAAATATTGGAGGTTATATAATATACCTTCTCACAGCACAATGCACACATATTGCCCAGAGGACTTCTGTCCTCTTTCTAGAGGAATGCAATCTGTTAAATCTGAGCAGGCAAAGATATTTCCAAAAAGAAATGTGAGTTTTCTGGGCTGTATGGCTGAGTTCCAGAAGCATTCTCTCCTGACGTTTCACCCACATCTATGGCAGGCATCCTCAGAGGTTGTGAGGTCTGTTGGAAACTAGGCGAGTGAGGCCTCAGTGTTTTTTAGTTTGTGTTGCACATTGTCTACAAAGAACTAGATCTCCCATCAATTCAAGCCACTCTTTTTTAAAATAGATTTTTATTGATTTTCATTATAAAACAACATTTAACAACGTATACAAAACAACATTTAAACGACATGTACAAAAAGAGCAAACATAGATCACCTTACATCCTTCTCTGCTACTTGCCCTGCGACTTAAAGCATCTACTACAGTAGTTGACTGAGTACTTTCCTTCGTATA